AACCTCTGTATTCCTCTCCTCCGCCGCAGTCAAGGGCGGATGCTTTTTCCGAGCCTCAAAGCCTGTGTTTTTAATCAAGCCCCTCTGCAGAGAGGGGGAATTTGTGCCCGCGTCACTCACGACATTCTAACCTAGACGTCCTGCGCTGGGATGGGGAGACGGCCGGATGGCGTGAGCCTCTCCGAGGTGGGAGCCAGTGCCCTGAGAGCCGACGCTCTGGAAAGGAGCCACGCTGAAACTACCCCCACTCCTCGGGGCCCAGGATCCAGCTCCTGCGAAGGGGTGATAAAGACCACGCTCCTCGGTGAGGAGGCAGCGGGGCTGAGGTCGGCACAGATAAAAAGAAAGGGAAGATTAGGGCTCGGCGAGACGGTCCGGAGCCGGGCGAGGAACCTCTCCTGCAAGGAGTCACGGGGTGCGCAGCACCCAACCAGTCCGACCAGCACGGCTGCCTACCCCCTCCCATTGCCGGGCGGCCGAGCCCCGGCCTCGAGGAAGAGGAGGAGCAGGGCTGCCCCGTGGAGCCCCAAACCCACGGCAACTTTGTGCGGGGCACAAACTGCACGAAGCTGCACTGCAGTAACACAGGCTCTGTATCGGGATCACTCCCTTTTCCCAAGCAGACCCCGGGATCTCTCGGGATTCATGGAATTTCTTCAGCAAACCACCCTCTTTATTACGGCAAGGAGAGAGGTCAGCCAAGGAAGCCGGGAGGGTATTTAAAGTCCAGCCCAGCTAGAGTTTAGAGAAGGAAATTTCACAATATAATTATTTTCTGACGTGATGTCATGGGCGTAATGAAACAAACAATTACAGCACGTTAAGGAGAGATCCTGTCAGGGCTTGCTGGCCCGAGATTGATTCCGATTTTCCCCTCCCCTCCGCAGACGATGCCATGTGGATGTCTCATCAAGGCCCTGCTACAAAGCTTCCCTTAAAAACAGAAAATAGGAGACAATCAGGTCTTTGTGTCAGTGCCCGGACGGCTGGAAAGAGCCCTGGAAGAACAAAGTCGCAGCAGAGAGCTGGGGATGCATTTGGTAAACAGATTTCAAAGGGTTACTTCCCCCACGAAGGCTTTTTTTTTCTTTCAGAAGGATGTCCTTGCTACGTCCCACTGCTTGATTTGACCTCAAGCCTCTGTCCAAATGATAGACGGAGCCCCGAAAGGGAGCTCGTCCTGCCAAAACACCCCCAGGCAGGGGCATGGCTGGGGGCTGGTGCATCTCCCAGTCCCACCAGTGCTCCCTGCACCCTCCCAGCTCCATCCTCCCCTGGAATAAAACATCCTTTAGCGCTCGGCTGTTTTGCACAAGACAAGGGCCTCGGATGAGAGGGTTCACTCCAGCGCTGACCTAATGGGAAGCCACCGGTGGACGCCTGTTTACCCAGCACATACCTCAGCCAGGCAAGGGCTCTTTATCTCCGAGGCACGGAGCACTAAGCAGCAGGACTCTGCCAGGGACAGGTACGTGGGGCAGAGCCACTTCGCTGGCAAAACTATATGGACAGGGAGCTAAAAAAAGTCCCTCTCCTCCTCCCTAAAGCTCGGTCAAAAGGGGAAGAGAAACCCCGGCATCACAAAATTCTCGAAATCGCCCCCACCCCGCTTGCCACAAAGCCTCCGCGCGAAGGGGCCTCGTGCAGGACGTCCCCTCCCCGAGCAGGCCAGCGCTGGGGTGACATTCGGGTGACACTGCTCGCTGGGGTGAAGTCCCCACCGAGGTGTCTGAGTGTTGCAACACTCACCTTTGCACTGCTACATCCACAGAAGAGCACCCAAAACCTCTTTCCTTCGTCCCGGGGGCAGTTTTGCTGCCCACTTGCGTGGGGAGCAGTGGGACCCAAACCCACGCGCGGGTTTTTGGGGCAATGCCAGCCGAGGAAATCCCCTCCCCGGCTCCGTGGCTGCCTTCCCCTTGCAGCAGAGCCGGCTGCAAGGCCTGTTTGCCCACATACCAGCCCATTACGGTCACAGACCTTCTCATGTCTCTGCCACCGGCACTAATTCACAGCCCATCTAACGCTGAGGAGGAGGAGGCAGCCTGCAAACCACCTAATTAATACAAACACAGGCTGAGTAGTTACATTTGCACAGAACGCTGGGCTCTGCCTCATGCCCACGAGCAAAAATCTGATTTTTAAAGTCCTTTTCAGGTGTCCTTTTCTCCAGGGGGGGATCCTTCCCCTCCCCGCTTTGCAGAAAGGAAAGCAAAAAGTAGAAATCTCACCAGTGACTCACCCCCAGCCCTCAGGAGGGGCTGAAAGCCACAGCCCAGAGGAGTCCCCCTGCCCACGGACTGGAGTGGGGTTCAAGAGAGGAGACATGCGCTTCCCGCAGCCCGGCAGCAGCCAAGCCGGGACACCGGAGCAGCTGCCAGCCCCGAAGGAAGCTGAGCTGAGCTCTTCGAAGCAGCTCAGCTACAGCAGGTTTGCAGAAAAGTGGTAGGAAACGCGGCGGCTGCAAGCCCGGGAGGCAGCTGGGGTGCACGCTCAGCTACCGAAACCCCTCGCCACGCACAGGCACCCCCTTCTCCCCACCACGCCGTAACACGTGGCAAAACCCAAGGGGCCGGGAAGACCAGCTGCCAGTCTCCCCTCCCAAGCAAACCCGGGTTTTATTTTCCATTCACCTCCCTCGGAAGCAGAGGAGCTTTTTCTGCTACCAAAAAGCCTCCCAAACTCTTAGCCTCGAGCAGAAAACCAACGCAGAAAGTTCCAGCACACGTGGTACGTGCTCGCAGAGCAGCCGAAGGGGAGGCTCCTCATGGAAAACGTTCAGCGATGTGGACAACAGGCAGAGTCACTAACGAACCGCTCCCTCAAATTGCCCTCAGAAAGGAGCCGCTCCCTCAAATTGCCATCAGAGAGCTCGGACAGGGAGGGATCCGCATTCACAGGCCCCCAGCGCGGCAGAGGTTGGCTCAGCAACGTGGCCGTGGTGTGGATGGAGACGACGCACCCAGTGCAAGGTCCGTGGGGGGGGGCTCAGCACCCACCGGAGAGGGGCTTTTTGCAGGTGGCAGGGGGACAAACGGACCCATTGCCATGTCTGATGGACCCAGCTAGAGAAAAACTCCTCCAGGCTGGAGTTAAACCATGCAAACTGTGCGAAGGGATCAGCGCCCGGAAGCTTTCTGTCCCAGCCGGGTCCGCCGCGGGAAAGTTCTGTGCCCCAGCCGCAGCCTCTGCGGTCTCGTCCTAGGAGCCTGACTGACGGTCCCATCGAGCGAGGGTCTCGGTGGGTCCCCGCAAGCCCTTTGAAACCCGAACCCTGCTCTGGTTTTTTCAAACGTAACAACATCAAAGCGTCGCCTGAACGTCACATCCTCCGAGCTAAGGAAGAGCGAGGCCCTCGGCCGTGGTTCTG